AAGTTTTTTTTGTAGTTGAATAGTGTTTTTACATATGTGTGTTTGATAATATTTTTCAAACTATTTTTTCTAAGAGCCGTAGAAAGCTACAGTGGATTTACAGTAATTTCATATATAAAGTCAAAAGTCTTATTTTATAATTTTTTGACTATAACTTTTACGGAGAACACTTAATATTGAATATAATTATAAAATTACATATTGAAATTTAATCTCATATAATTTAATTATATCATAATTTATAATATTTTAATAATTATAACAAATCTAAAAAATATAAATTATTAAGAAGTAATAAATATTATTTATTTTGATAATTACAAATCTTATAATATTTTTTAAATAATAATTAATAATTAATAAAATCTATCATATTTTATATATAATATTTTTACAAAATAAATAACTAAATACCTAAATAATTTTCAATTACAGTTATAATATAACATAATTCAACACAACTATAATTATAATTATAATCACAACATTTTACAATAATTCCAAACACATTCATAATCTCAATTGTAAAGACTTAAAATGTAAAGGTTGACATCCAATATTATCCTTCGACCATTGTCGCAGTAGCAAGACCCAATTGGAAGGCCCCCCAAGGGCCTAACTTGTCTGTTGTTAGTCTTAGAATTAGTCTTACCGTCTTAGTCCAGCTCGGCTCTCTGTTCCAGTATTAACTTGGGAGCCCATACCCACCAGGTCGGCGTCCAATCCAACTGAAACGCCATCCCCTGAGCTGCCTTTTCCTTCGGCCCTTCTGCATTAGGGCCAGCAACGGGTTTGGGTATACAGCAAGTACCTGTATGTGGGAAAGGGCTACTTTCTGTTCTCCGGGCGCAGGGAAGTTCAGAGGTTACATTGTGAAATCAGAAAGCTAGGGGATGACCTCACATTTGTCACTTTTTATGTATTCTCCGATTGTTTCGAGGGTTCAACCTCAAAAAACTAACCCTTCTATCAAGTGTCCAGGCAAAAATCATGATTCAGATACACACGTCCATAAAATTTGGCAAATTTGTGGAATCCATTGAATGGGTCTTTGCCTAGAAAAAGTGAGCGGTGGGAACCTTTACTTGCACTACAATTTTGGAACACAGACATCTTCAGTGGCTGCTGCCACGGGAACCCCAACCTGAAAACGGTTCAAAATTGCTACAAAAATAAAATTTTCAGGAAACCAGAGAAATCAGAGACCACCCTTTTGTTCGTAGGAATTTTTTATTATCTAATTAATGGATACCGTTAAGGAGGATGAATTGTATAGATACAGGGTGGTGAAGCTGCCTTCTTTGATGCCTAGTATATTGGAAGCCGAACTGGAACCAGAGCTGGAGGGGGAGACGGGACAGAGGAGGAGGAGCAGAGACATTTTGATAGCCGTTGATCAGGGTCCCAAACAGCAAGTATGCCTTTGATTGGGCCCTTGTTCACCTCTGCAGGATGGCCGATATCCTTCATCTTGTTAATGCAGTTTCCAGTATGTATATTTAAATCTCTGAATGAAGCGTTTTGATGGATTTAGCATGTTGAAAGTTGAAATTGACCAGCTTTGAGATTGTTTCAATTCTTTAACTTATTCTGTGTTTGGGTTTATGAAAGCATTAAAAATGAGGGTGCTCATGATGCCAACCACGGGCTTATGGAGAGGTTAGCCGTGGAGGCTTCTCAGATTGCGATGGTTAGTGGGTTTTCTTTTATCTTTTAATGCTTAAAATTGTGAAATTGGATGATGAAATCATTGAATTTCAGCGCTGTTAGTGCCATAAGGAATCTGTAGCTTGTTTATCTGGGCAAGGTGCCTGCCCCACTATAGAGTTATAGAGTATAGACATTTTAAAATAGGATCATCATTAACTATGACTTTGGTGCTACCTCTAACTGGATATAAACTTTAAGTTTTTCACTGGTAATCAAGGTCTAGACTCTAGAGTTGCATGTTACTTCTCTGTTTGTTACTTACTCATAGAGGATTCATAAGCATCCTATGTTCAGTTTTTCCCTTCTGAACTTCAGATAATTGATGTTTAGGTGAAGTGTGTGGCTCGGATTGTGGAGGGGGATGCAGGTAAGGTGATTTGCCAGGAAGCAGAAAGGATAAAGCCAGCAGCTGTGGTTGTGGCCTTGTGGGCACCCGTGGCCCAAGCTTAATGCAGAGGTTGTGGTTGTCCCTTTTCTCTTTCTTTATCTTTGCACCTGCAGGCTTATATTTGATTCACTATCCCCCCTTTCCCATATAGGCATTTGGTTTCTTCCTTGTCTCTCACCCCTTGGTATTTTCTGTAGTGTACTAAAGGGAAGTGTGAGTGAGTATATTGCTTCCACCATTGTAAAGCTGCTCCTGTTATTGTCGTTCCTGGGAGAAGTATCATTTTTAGACAACGAAATGCTTTCATATCCTTTCATTGATTTTAATCCATTGAAATAATTCTTATGATTTTGTTTTGAATTGGCAGACGCTGGAGATCTGTCACTGATACAGCGAAACTAGAAAAGGAAGCAAACAGTAAGTAGAATGTTCTTCTTTATGTAATAGCGCTATGTTGTTTGTATATGATCATATAAATAGTTATGTGGAAGATACAATGTTCAGTCTTACCTTACTATTTCTACTTGTAGCATGTGAATTATTTGTCTGCTGATCATTGCTGATGAAATAGAATTATTTCTTATTGTTTGAATTAGTTGAAATCCTGATTCACGTGAATGAGTTTACACTAGATGAATTATTGCACGAAAATTTGGTATTGTAGAATTTTTCGTAAATACAAATGTTATGATCTCTTGCTCGTCCTTTCAAAAATCAATTCCATGCTCTCCTAGGTCCCCTAATAGTATTGGACTTAAGTGAAAACCCCATAACATAAGCCAAAACCCTTTTTGTTCTTAAGAATCTGAACCCCACTTAGATGGGCCTACAACTCAGATTGGCTATTTAAATAGGCTTATTGATGTTTGCAACAGGTAAACAAACAGAGAAAGATCATCATTTCTTGTGCAATTTCTTAGGATTCTTGTTCATAGGTAAAGACACTAGCTTAGGAGCTACAGCTATCTCCAAAGAGATATGGTATATGTTGTACTGGAATACCCACAACCCAAAAGAATCTTTGTGGTATTTTAGCTTTTCATTTCTTGGAATTTCCAGTAGGTGAAAGGTATAGAGGAATCTGAAGGATTAGGGGGAAGAAAAATGAAGAAAAAAGGGGAAATAAATATGGGCCCTAGAAAGAGAAAAGGCAATATCTTCTTTCACCATCCACAAGAAACAAAGAGAATCAAAGAGATTTCGCCTGTGGATGAGCCCAGGACCACCCCTTTCATTATTACTTCTGGCTTGAAAATGAATGAAAGCTGAGGCTATTGTGACTCCAAGGACAAGTGGAGCAATGAAATGGTAGTCCTCAGGCAACCTTAGGTGGTCCCTGCCATAGCCGCAACCCACCCTGAAAAGCTCCTTTCTGAGTCATTAAAACACAAGTATTAGCATCATAGCATTGATCTTGCTCACACTATTCGTTGTTCTGCAACTTTCATGCAAATAGTAGCAGTTTTGTTCTCTTTAGAATATTAATCGCCTTAATCATATCTGCATAAAACCAATATCATGAACTTCTTCTTGTGGGGGGTTGAGTTGTTTTTGTATCAAACCCAAACTTGGTCTACTGCTTAAGACCTTAGGTTCAATAGGTTTATGATCTTTAGACATTTCATATTGGTATCCGCCTTTATGAAAACCAAAAAAAAAAAAAACAGAGTTCCTCAATTACCAAGAGCTGATGATTATCTGAAGGAAAAATGAAACACTAAAAACAAGGAAATTTTTTTGGAACAAAACATTAGAGACCAAAGGAAACACCTATAAATGTTAGAGACCAAAGGAAACATATGTAAACAAGTGTTGTCTTTTTATTAGTTTATGTGGATCTATTTGAGTATATATAAGTTTTTTAGTAATTTATATATGTATTTTTTTTATATTTAAATCCTGTAAACCTTTATTATATTTATGAATTAGTTAAATTAATATCCCAACACCTATAAATCCTGAGAATCAAAATAATCTGAAATTTTAAATCTTTAGGCAAGTTGACATGTTCCACTTTGCTTTTGATCATTCCACAGGAGCAGTTAATGTACCTCCACTGTTGCATAACGCTCTTATCCATATGTATCCATGATGATGATTTTTTTCTTTCTTTTGAAACAATCCATGATGATATCAGGTGCACTGAACTTCAGTCCCACTCTTTTTCGTAGCTATCTATAGCTTTACTAAAACGCTGTTATTGCTTTGCTAATGGTAGCTACATCATTAATTATAAAAAAAAAGAAAAAAAAAAGAAAAGAGGTAGCTACATCATCCCCTTTCCATATATAATAAACAAAGATAAAAAAGCTACATAACATGCATAAGCTCCATCTTCCCATCTTATCAATTATCAGAGCAAAAGAGTAGAAAAAGAAAGAACCTTATTATGATCAATGCTTTCTTTTACTATTATGTGATAAGGATTTGTAACTATGATTTTAGGTTGATTTAACTAAACCTTACTTTGTATAATTGTTTTTGATTAAATATCAATTTTACTCCCTCAACTTTAAGATTTTATACAATTTTTATCCATCAATTTTTTTTATCCCTCATTTATAAAATATACACATTTTTTGTTTTTTGCCTATTAATTTATTTAATCTATCTAAGTATATATATTTTTAGTTTTTAAACTTATAATATATATATTTAATTCTTAAATTTTTAAAATTAAAAATATGCATATATGGACAAATTTAATGAATTAATTGATAAAAAAATAAAAAAAAACATGTATTTTTTTGAATTGAGAGATCAAAAATATTTAAAATAATTAAGAGACAACTATACAAAACTCCAAAGTTTAAGAACTAAAATTGACATTTAACCATTGTTTTTTGCCTGCGCTTGTGCACAATTTTTGCTCTTTATATCATTAATTATATAGCCTAATTATCAGTGTCTTTATCAAATTATATTTTTCATGTACCAAAAGGGAACCGAAATGGTCCACGATTAGGTTCATGTCTTCTTTCCTTCCTGGAGTGCTCCAAGTTGTACCCAGGTTCATTCAACAGAAGAACAGGTTGTGATAATTGATCATTCTATGCATTCCTGCAGCATTACAAAATCTTGTGGTGCTTCTTGCATACAGTGATATGATTTACTTTTGTCTTTCAATCATGAACGAGAGTAAAAAACAGTGCAGAGCACTGCAACAAATTCATTGACGTAGTGTTCTTTTCATGGATTTCTCCATCTCAACCTCTTAGCCCCCACCCGCACTAAAAGTTTTGTTCCCTACTCCATCCCTCTTCTGAGTCTTCCCCCATCAACCTTCCACTGTACCCCATATAGCATTTTTGTCGTGATTTTTATACAGCTTAAGAAACATAAGATTAGGTTAATAGTTATCGCTCTTATTCATACTTTCTTTCCAGTATAAATACAAATATACATGTTATGTACCTAGCGCACAAAGAAAGAATATTTGGATCAAAGGCATTAGCAATAATTCATCAATAAATTGCGATTTGTGGCTACTGTTCTGATTTAGATCTCCATCTTTTGGTTGTTGGCTTCAATGAAACCTGCAAGAATCAGATAAAGCATGGTTAGTTCGATACTTAGTAGTAGCAAAGGCTGATAGTGGGAAAGTGAAAATTTCCTGTCATGGCTGCCAGTTCACACACTCATCTTTCCTTTTCCTAAGCATGACTAAACCACTGAATTGTTAGTTCGTGAACAAAGGGGGTCCCAGGTTTGCTTTTCCTCAGGAAGTCTTTATCCCTACTGTGCATGCACATTAATAGGTGATCCATGGCTATTGGTGTTCATATAGGGTCAAATTCTGCAGGCCTTTTAATGGTAAAGGAACAATTGTGGGAATATTGTGGTCATTGAACAAAGATCTACAGCTCTTTGATCATTGTAGATTGTAAATGATAAAGGTGTTTTTTATTTTCCTTCATTTAAATCAGATGGGACCACAGTTCTTCCTTAGTTCTTTATCACTATTCATATTCTTGGAGAACAACCGGCTGAGAGAAATAGAAGATGAACAGAGATAGTACCTGTAAGTGGCTGAGGTGGGAAGGATGTTGATCTTCCCTGCTCAAATGCCATGCTGTAAGGATTTTGTAATTCAGCATCCCATATTGCAGGAGGTTGGATTTGCTGCATTGCAAATACTATCAATTGAAGTAACATGGTAAATGCTAAGAACAGAGATGCAGGGGTTGGGATAAGGAAATTACAGGGATGCAGGATGGGTCGATAAATGCTTCAGGGACTGATACAGCAGCACTAATGGCTCTCCGGAGCCCCATATCAGAAGGGTTCATTCCCATTTCCAGTCCACAACAAGAAACTGCTTGTTGTACTGGATTCAACTGAAGATAGGCAGGATTTATCATCTCTGATGACATTCCAACTGCAGGAAAACTAGCCGTACAAGCAGGAAACATCTGTTGAGTACAAGAGTCTTAGTTAGTAACATGGGATTTACTCCTAAGCAGTTGTGATGTGAGAATGTTTAGATCTTTCTCTATTCCAGCCTTATGCCTTACTTCTTTGGCGAAGAGATTGTCAATGTTGAAGTCAAGTCTTGGATTAACTGCAGCTAGTTTCATGGATAGGAACTGTTTAGATTGAGCGTAAATGGTGAAGTTAGCGGCTGCATAGATGTAATGATAGTTGAAAGACTGTAATGTGCAGAATGAAGATTGTGTATGTAACATACCTCTACTTG